TTCTGTTTTTTCTCCTTTCGGTTGCATAGGATAATGTGGCGGGATTCCCATGTTAGCTGTCGTGTGTGTTGCAAAGTTTCCCAGCACCTTGGCTGTCCCTGGCCACGATCAGTCACTTTATTCTTTCCTGCCCCAGCCCTTCAGGTGCATCTGGAACACTTCCACCTTGTGGGATGAAAAATCTCCACGAACATTTGCTAGTATTGCATATCTCAGTTCTAGTATCTTGATGGTGTGTGCATGCACATGTGCTGGCATGGGAGGGAGCTCGACTCCAGTATTTGCTTGTCTTGTACTTGGCTGGAAGCACTTCACAAATAGCAAAGCTGTTCATTTCATTCTTTAATATGGTTTCCCAAAAATTATAATACTGAGGGGCATGTGTGTGGTGGTTTCTTGTGCTACTTTTCAGTGCATCTTCTGCAGACCTGCTGTAATGCACACTTCTGGATTCTTTCATCTGGCAGTCATAGTGGTGTATGTTTTGCCTCAAAGTACCTCAAATCTGGAAGATGAAACCATCCTTCCAACTTGCCTTTCATTATTTTATGCACCTTTCTTTGTAACAGACAAGTTATCAAGTGTGTACAAATAGCTTAATTTGGACTAAGTGACAGCAAGCTCCTTTTTTAGGGGAGGGCAATATGAAACAAAGGTAGGTGGTGCCACATTAATTCTGCCTTGTGCTTTTGACAGTGAAACCAAATTGGTTTACCAATGCAACCAGATGTGGGGCAACAAGGTGTATAGGTTGTAAGAACACTAGTGGCCCCATCTTCTTGGTGTTAAATTTGGTTCCCAACCTTGCTGTGATCTTCAGTTCTGTTTTCAGCATTCTAAATTAAGCAGACAAACAAAAAAATAAACCCTGTTTTCTTCTATCTACATTCAAATATTCGGCAAGGTACTTGTAGAACTTCAAATACTAGTGTTAAGACTTTCATGAGCTACCCGAAGTGGTAAAATGTGGAAAGATTTTGAACTCCTATGTATCAAACTTCTGTAAAGTACTAGTAACAAGCAAAAGCATTTGCAACCTAATAGAAGTGTATACTTTTATATGATGGGAAGTGGAATGGTGGGGGGAATGAGTAGTCTTACCTGGCTACATCTATCTAGCTTTGTTTCAATTGGTGTGCATTCATCTGAGAACCCTCTTAGCTCAAACTAGCCTCTTGCCAACAGCTGTCTGCTGAAGTTTATATAACCTTGGCTAGAGACAGTGCTCTTGGTGTCAGAGTGGCTGTTTGATCAAACTAAGCAAACGGTTCTTTATATTGATCACCTATAAAAGTGAAAGTTGTTGGTGCTAGTGAGGCAACCCACCTGCACTAGAGCTGAAGCTCATCTTGGCAAAGTCTTCCTGTATGTATGAAGATGGAATGCATTATTCTAATCACTGAGGTGAAGAGCTTGGGATTTAAAAAACAAAACCAGACTGACAAACCTGTTAGTCAAATAGGTGACACATTACTTGGAAAATAATTACCTTGCCTTTTTAGAAGGGATATAGACCTGGGGATTATGGAAGGAACTTTACCAGGAATTGGCTTCTTTGAACCTGGCCACTACAGGATATTGTGTCTCTGTCTGACTGCTATACCCACTATAGTAATGTGACTGAAGCAGTACAACTTGTTTTGACAGGATCTTGCATTCAGGTTACATAAGTGAGATCTTCATAGCTAAGCCTAAGTGAAAGCTTAGTTTACATTAAACTATACAAGAATGGAGTAGGTGATTGTCAGGGGCGGGGGAGGCACATGGCTTATACAGTTTTTGGGAAGACTTGTCTCCTTACTGCAAACAAGAAGTATTGAGTGGACAAGACTTCTGACAATTGTCTACGGCTCTTCCTAGTACCATGCAGGCACAATCAAGAACGTGCGTGAAGCCACAGAAAGCTTTGCTTCTGATCCCATCACCTACAGACCTGTGGCTGTTGCTCTTGACACCAAGGGACCCGAAATCCGAACTGGACTTATCAAGGGAGTAAGTGTTGTGTATGGTTTTTTGTTTTTAATGCAGCCTAAGATTATATACATGATTAGTTTAAATAAAAATAAAAAGTACCTTAAGGGAACTAGGTAACTTGCATGCTGCAATAGCAGCCTTCCTTCTGAGCCAACCAATCTCTTAGAAGGAAGAAGCTGTAACCTTTTCTGTGACTTCATCAGTGCTTGCTATTCCCCTGACAGTGGATGAGTTAAATACCATACAGAATGGGGTACAACAGTGGGACACCTTGCAAGCAGGACAGTTTTCTGCCATCCAAACCTATTCTTTCCTGTCATTGTCTGTCTGCCCAGGATTTCTCTTGGCTTGTGTTGGGCAGACTAGATAGAGGTGTGGCTGCAGTATCTGCAGTACAAAGTTAAAGCCACTTCCACAGTCCTGAGAGAGCATGTACATTGATACATGCCCTTGCATTATTAACCTTTCCCTTGTTGCCAACAGAGTGGTACAGCAGAGGTGGAGCTCAAAAAGGGTTCGACTCTTAAACTGACCCTGGACGATGCCTACATGGAGAAGTGTGATGAAAATGTATTGTGGGTGGACTACAAAAACATCATCAAGGTTGTGGATATTGGCAGCAAAATCTATGTAGACGATGGCCTCATTTCACTGCTGGCTAAGGAGAAAGGTGTGTAGCGATGAAAAGGTTCCAGTACAATGCGACTTTCCCCTGTGGGACTGCCCATCTGTGGTGGCATTTCCTTTTTAGTGACCTGACTCTTACCTTTTTAACTACTTTTATATGAAGCAGTTAGTCCTCAACCTCACAATGAAGTTAGTGTTCAGGCAGGTACTGCATTTGGGCAAAGATGGAGTCACCGAACGCATTGGTGGACATGGATTTCTCATTTTGGTAAATACAGTAAAACCTCCTCCTTATCAAGACCATCTCCTTTAATATCATCCCTTCAGCCAAATCTTACTCTTTTGTATTTATCATAAAACCTTACTTAGTTGTTATGGGATAAAGCAGAAGCCAGGGATAAGCCATGCATTATTAGGTTGTCTTTACTGCATATTGATGGAAAGGCTGACTTCCCCTAATAGCCAGACATCACTTAGATAGTGGCTTATAGCACCAGAGTACCTAATGTTGATGCATGTCACAAAGCTTGCTAACTTCTAGCAACACTGGCTTAGAGGAAAATTTTAAAATCTTTTGGCACTGCATGCAGATGTGGCGCAAGGCTGGGGCCTGGTGTCACCCCCCTCCCAGCCCTGCACTCTGGGATCAGATGCCCAATCCAGTGTGCAGGGCTCAGCGCTCTCCATGGATCTGGAAATTTGGTGACGGGGTAGAAGTGCTGTCTCTCTCCACCAAATTACTGGACTCTTCAGGAGCTGCATAGATGAGATGACATAATGCTGTGGGCCTGATCTGATATATGGGCCAGGGGTTGAGCACCCCTGCTCGAAGCTGTGTGGAAACCCAAGAAGTAGGAACCCTTGTGAGGATATATGGGGCAGCTTAAAATATCTGCGCTCAAATTCAGAGAGGATTTGCTACTAATCCTTCACTATAATGGTAAAAGTAGTGTAGCAAAGCTTGGCATAGCTGATCAGAACAGTCTTGGGTTTTTATGCTGTTATCCATTATGCCAGTGACTTACACTAAACTGCTGTAGCAGGTGATGAAAACAGTACTTCTAGCAAATACAAGATCTCCACAGATCATATAATGCCTGTACAATATAGGAATTATCATTAGATATATTAAGTATATTCAAAGTCTTCTTCCCTTAAATCCAGTAACTGTTCATGAAAAGGGCATTTATTTTAGATAAGCATCAGAAGCTGTGTCCACTGATCCCAGTACAATGGTAGCACTATCTAGCAGTTACAATTACATGGTTTTGGAGCAGATGGTAACTTGTGGCTTGATGCAGAGCTAGCTTGAATGGTCAATAGTGGTTTAAATTGTAAAAATTTAGTTGGTACTTCATTAAGCTAATTTATACCGGTTTCTTATTCCTACGCAATGGTTCTTAACCTTTTTAGGCTCAAAGCATCCCTCGGTAAATGTCAGTTCTTAGTCTTTTGGGGTTTTTTCCCCAGAATCCATAAACAATAAAGCAATTCTTCTGTTGGAAAGAACTTGGGCCATAATAGGTCAGAAGGTTCCTAACCTTAAGGTTTCCTGGCTGGAATCTCTGGGCTTTTCCTGACTGTCATTAACGCTCTGTCAGATGCACAAACGTGATTAACTGTAGCGCCTTTCAAAAGGATCTCAAAGCATTTAAGGGTGCTACAGCACCCTGGTTGGAAATCACTGTCTTGAGTATCTTATTTCATAGCTGTGTCAGAACTGCCACTCTTAAGGTGAACTGTATTTGAGAGTGTTGGGAGACTGGTAATAGCATGTCTAGAAGCCACTAACTTGAATGGGATCAGAATATGGCTTCTTCACAAATGAAATGCATTGTGTAGATGCTGTCTTCCTTTTTCAGGCTTGAGGGAGAGATGATTTTAGTTGGTTCATAAATCTTGCTCCTGGTTAGTAAGTGGCAAACTAAGACACAATGCATGCATGAATTCCTACTTGCCTTGAATGATGCAACATGACTGTGTACTGTGAAGGCAAATCATTTTCCAACTTTGTTGTACAACCTGTCCAATTCAGGCTCGGACCATATTATCTGTGAAATTGAGAATGGTGGGATTCTTGGCAGCAAAAAAGGTGTGAACCTGCCTGGAGCTGCAGTGGACCTTCCTGCAGTCTCTGCAAAAGACATTCAGGACCTGAAGTTTGGCGTGGAGCAGGATGTGGACATGGTGTTTGCTTCCTTCATCCGCAAAGCTGCTGATGTCCATGCTGTCAGGGAAGTGCTAGGAGAAAAGGGGAAGAACATCAAGATCATCAGCAAGATTGAGAACCATGAGGGTGTACGCAGGTAAGCACTCACAAGCATGGCTTGTATGAGGTTCAGGGAACGATTCCTTCCTGATGGTGGGAGAATGGAAGGCAAAGGGTGAAGTCCATACTTAAGTCTGTGGGACTGCAGGTTCTTCTCTAGTCCCTGTCCTGTTTGTCAGCAAAAACTTACTGCCATTACTTGCCAAGTGACTGGAAAAGTCCTAACAGTTAGAAAATAGTCCTATCTCTAGTTATCAGACTACAACAGTCATCTGTGTCCTGCTTTAAAAGTACTCTGATATTACAGTAGGTATTGCAGGATAGAGAAATATTTTGGGTTGTGGAAATGTACTTGTATGGGCAAGTACTTGCATATTTACTACTCACATAATGATATCAAAGTGGGGTTGCAGGATACCTGTGTGTAACTCTTTTTTGCCTGTCAGGTTTGATGAAATCATGGAAGCCAGTGATGGCATCATGGTGGCCCGTGGTGACTTGGGTATTGAGATCCCTGCTGAAAAAGTCTTCCTTGCCCAAAAGATGATGATTGGACGATGCAACAGGGCTGGTAAACCCATCATCTGTGCTACTCAGGTACTTTAGTTACCAATAGCTTTTCTTGTGTTTTTTCTACCACAGATCTTGCATGAAGAGTGCTCAGTCCTAAGTATGTCCATTACCCACTGGCTTCAGAGGGAGTATATAAGGGAGTGTTTCCAAGTCCTGTTTGTTGGAGCATGAAACATTTTAAAGCAAAACTACAATGTCTGGACAGATTTTGTATTCACGAAGTGTACAGATTCTGTGTTCCTATATTAGTCAATAGGCACCCTTGTTGTTGTCTCTTCAACCAGGAGATGTAACCTTACAAATATTCTCCTTGGCTAGGCCTGTTATGCAGGTTGGAATCTACAACAGGCTTATACAGGGCCTGTAAACTTGTCATGGAAATCTGCCTTGGAGGATCAGCTTCCTAATACATCTGCAGCCCATGCTGGAATGCTATAGTACCCAGTCTGCCTGTCTGGTAGTGTCCTTTCAATATCCCCACTAATGACATCTGGCTCCAGATGTTGGTCTCTTGTTAATACCATGTGCCTCTAACTGACAATTTTTGCTCCTCTCCTCACAAGCCAGTGTTAAGTAGCAAATATGGACAGTTTTGAGCAGTGGGGGAAACTGGTAGGGCTGTGCAAAATTTTGATGGGTGTTTCGTTGCAAAACTGTTTCGAGCTTGAAACCACGAGCACCCAGAGGCCCCAATCGCTGCTGCCAGAGCCGGTGAGTGCAGGGCTCTTAAAGCTCCACGCTCACCAGCTGCAGAGCATACAGATGACAGCATGCTGCTGTTGTTGCCTGGGACCAGCACCTGAGTCTGCCTAGCACAGCCTGCACCAAGTGTTGGGAAGAAGGCAGTGCTGACACTGGCCCCAGCTGACAGTGGCAGCCTGCTGACATTCCACATGCAGATCCAGGGGCCTGTGCCCCCTGGGAGGGCTGTAGAGCTGTGCCAGACTTTTCCTGGGGGGTGAGCAAGCCCCCAGATCTGCATGTGGGATTACAGCAGGCTGCTGCTGCCAGCAAGTGATATGAGTTTTGCTTTGTGAAACTGCACCTCAAAGGAAAGCACCCTAAGTAGTTGGTAATTCTTAGTTAACAGATTCAGAACTCAAGATAGCCTACTTCTTTTTTTTCCTATCCTCTAGTGCAGTTGCTTTGTATAGAGCAGGCACATCTTTGAATTCAAAGTGGCTTGCCAGTAAGCTATGTTCTCTGTGCCTTAGGCTAATTTAGTAGCTTTTTCCTGGTGTGTTATGGTACTAGTTAGATACTACTTCTATAAGAGCAATATTTGTATAGAGAAAACTATGAGCTATAGACCAGATGCCAGACAAGATCAGTTATTGGCTTGGATCTGTTTCTAATGTAATACATTGGTTGTGCCTCCTTGTGTGTGTAATACAAAAACTCAAAAGTACCGATACTGATCTTTGCTTCCTTCTTATGAAAGAGGACTAGGTTGTGCTTGGTGTTACGCAGACAGCAGGGAGTTTCTGTGCCAGGAGTATAAAAGGTGGTCTCGGCACACCAGTCATCATTTGTCAACTCTTAATTGGCAAGACAGCAGCATGTTTGTAGTATCCTGACTTCTAAATTTTGAACTGACTTAATGATCTTACCATACCCTCCTCAAAAAAAAAAAATGGTTTTAAACTATTCAGATGCTTATATAAGTGTGCTAGAGAAGCAGTTCTCTTCTGGAGCATGACGTTAATTTTTTACTCTTCCTTTCCAGATGTTGGAAAGCATGATTAAGAAACCTCGCCCAACCCGTGCCGAGGGCAGTGATGTAGCTAATGCAGTCTTGGATGGAGCTGACTGCATTATGCTATCTGGAGAGACAGCCAAAGGAGACTACCCTCTTGAGGCTGTCCGCATGCAACATGCTGTGAGTAGTGCCTCTGCGTTTTTTTTTTAAGGGTAGCATTCCATAGCCCAAAATAGGGATTTGCCAAATCAGGTGGGGTGTTCATCTGCCATGGATATCTGGCTTTCATATGCCTTCAGAGCTTGGTGACACCCAACAGCTTGTTCTTGCTCTCACCGTGGCTCTCTTTTTTTGCGGGGGGGGGGGGGGGGCACTTCCCCCCTCCCTCCACCCCTTTCCCCAGTGCCTGGCTCCCACGGTCCCAGCCTTGCCCTTCATCCCTTATTTGCCATGTGTCAGCATAATTTTGAGGAGCCTGCTATACTGTGATCGTGCACAGATTGGTACAGTATTGCTCTACTGGCACAAGATGCATTGTGCTAGACGGGCAAACTGCCCTCTATCGTGTGCTGTATTATCTAAAGGCAGAGCCAAGAACTGAAATGCAGTGGTGGGAAATGTCCAAATAAGATTCCTTTGCAGTCCAATCCTAATTCCTGTTTATACCAGAGTTAAGCTTTCTTAACTTTTTACCTTGGTGTGAATTCCCTTGAATCCACCATTCCAAACTCAATATATGAAGCCTTCTAAACGGGGCAGCTGCTACGGAAATCACTTGGTTGAGCTGTGTTCAATAGATTAAAACACAATTTTAATGACTTTGTGTGTGGTGGGGGAGAGGGGTAGCTAAATGACTTGCTCAATCCTGTTGCATTTGACAGCTGTGCCTTTTGATGGGGATGTTTTTTGCATGATTACTGACAGGACTCATTTGTTTTTTACATGTTTAAACTGCCAGAAACTTCTCTGCTCTGCTTGGAGTTCACCCAACTCATTTTCCCCCCCTTCATTAATTTAAGTCTGATGCCAAGTGTCTAGAAGTACTGATGCTCCCCAGTTAACTGCTGTGAATTACAGCACTGATAATGCACACTAGTTTGTCAGTTGAAGTTCAGGTTATATAGATTAATAAATATAGCTCTTGTGTGTGCACTTATAGTGCATTCTGTAAGTATTAACTTCCTTCTCTCCTTCTTGCTTGTACCTGATCTCTGTGATTGGTGCTTTGTTGTACACTGGGGGAAGGCAGTGAAATCAGACTGGTGTTGGGCAATGACTTGAAAGCACGTGACTGCTCTGTACTGCAAACTGTTCACTAACTGCTTGTCTAAAAATTTTTCTTCCCTTGGCAATCTCGAGGATTGACCCTGATACCAATATCTGGAAACTTGCAGCAGCAGTCTACAATTCTAGAACTGCAAACTTATCAACCTTGGCAACAAGAGGTCTGGCCACCAGAAAACAATCGCAACCTATTTGTCCCTTTTTAATGTGGATATGAATTCTTTCTATAAGTGAATGAACAAAGCCAGCAGACTTTTCAAAGGACCCCTTTTGCTTTCTCTTGAACAGTATATACCTTTTGAGACCAGTCACCTTGAGTTTCTGTAATTGCTTATTGGATCTGTTTGGTTCATGTTAGGCTCTTGGTAACTGGCTTAGTTCTGATATAAGTTTCCTTAATGACAAAACATGGTGAACTCATGCCTCAAAGCGTGTGGGGCATAAGGAGAAGACTTGCTAGGGAATATTGCTGTGAAGCAAAAACTAAAGCTGCTGTAAGAACAAGATGTTTTTTACTGGCGGTAGAATTGCAGCTCTGTGCTCTCTTTCTGTCTTGGGAAGTGCAGACAGTAGCCAGTAAGTGCCATAAAGGGACGGTGGAAACTTGCCTGCCAGGGGCCTTGCTAAATCCTCCGACTAAAGCTGGAACCCTTCAAACACCTTTCTCCTGCAGGCTTTTAGAGGTCAGGTCTGCCTAATAGAAAGGCCTTAAGCTGTGCAGTGTTTTATATGATGAAGCTCAGAAGTCTGTCCACCTTTTTACAGTAAGCCACAGGGCACCTTCCAAACAGCCACATAACACTGGTTACTTGACTAGCACATACAGTTTTAAATGTCAGTGACAGCTGCTACATTAGATGGTGGCTATGGCTTTAACTAGGTCCACTGAGTAGTGACTACCACCAGGGCTCATTCTTGGTCACAAAGCTAAGAAAGCAGTGAGGAAATAAAACTCTGCCAATCCTGCTGAGCTTGTGACGCACTGAGAAAAAACAAGTCCTGTTTACAGGCTCCACTCTGGAATGCTCTGCCTGGCTCATTGGGTTGCTGACCATGCACCCCAGCACTGCTCTTTGACTTTTAAGGGTCATGTACCCCTCTGAGCTGTCTGTACTGCTTAGTTGTCTAGTTTGGGCGTGTACCAAGTCGGAATGAGTAGGACTTGGTTACCCTGTTGGGACCCTTCATGAACACCACCTTCCCTGTACCATACCCAGGTATCTGGGTGGTTTTGGACCTTGTATGTACTTGTATACAGTAACTTCACAAGAATCTGGACATGGGAACAGAGGGCTATCAGTTATATTTGGGTGGTCTCTTCAAGTGCCTACGGTTTAATCCTTTATACACCTGACACATCCCCCTGAACTGATGGCCTTGGTACAATGCTGTGGTCTCCATTTGGTAACAGCCTTTTATCCAGAAGAAATGTGCTGAACTTAACTCCTCCTTCCAGTAATACTAGTGCCCTTGCAAGGCAAGTGAGGCTTTTGAATTGAGAGTTCAGTAGCAAGTTTCCAGATGTTGGGCAGGATATCTCCTTGGAAAGAAGAATTCCTGCAACCTCAGTGGTCAATTGTTCTTGATTTGACCAGGCCGGCTAACCTGATCAATGGAAAAGCAAAGGATTTTTAACCACTGCTCCTGCCCAGTTGTCCAACAAGCTTATTTCCTTCCTTCCTCACCTCCACTCAACCAAGGAAATTTCCATACTTTCCTACAAACTTACGGAAGCTTGTCTATGCCCAGTAGGCAAAAACAGCTATGAGATCAGTTTTGAAGAATTGCCATAGACTTTGTCTAGGGTGAATAAGTATGGGTTATCCAGGGTGGGGAGGACAAAAGAAACTTTTGGGTTACTTTTAAATGACAGCTCCTAGCAGGGAGCCATTTGATAGATCGAAGCTTATACTACATGTTTCCCAAAGCTGCCTGTCCTTGAATCGAGAATTGAAGATGTACCATGAGGCTCCTGGCTTACATGTTTGGAGTGTGTGCTCTCTGAGGTGGACACATTGTTGTTGTTGTGTTAAATCTTTATCCTCTTCTCTCTATCTAACAATAAGTTCTAAGACTTGCTGTATTAAAAACTTGCAGCTACTGTGCCAGTCTCATTGCATTGCAATGCAATCTAGGTATCTCTGAGCTCAAAATACTACTCGGGATCTTACAAAGGATCTTGTGGTTGAAGACCAGGTCAAGGAGCGGGGATTTCTGCCTTCTATTCCTGTTTTGTTGTTTTTTTCCACATGCATCCTGTGACACTTGGACAAGCCACTTTATCTATGGGTTACACATCTCCTCCATAAAGAGCTTGGCATTCCTATAATGCATAAATGTAGAATTAATTAATTCATGTTCAAAGTGCTGTGCCCTCATTTGGATGGTGCCTTAGAAATGAAATCTGAATCGGACTAAATAATTCCTAAAACCTCAGTATCTTTTTCCATGCCATATAATTTATCCCATTCGCTTCCCTGAGTAGCTAACTGAGATCTGTCTTGAAAAGACGATCAACATTTTCTCTGCATGCTTTTCTGGTAAGCTCTGCAAGCCTTCTTTTATATGGCTGTCGAGGACTGGTGTAGCTTACAAAGACCTCAGTTCTTGTCTTCAAAAATACTTGGTCCTGTATATGCTTTGTATACAGGTTTCCTAGACTGACTTTGGAAATGCTGACAAATGGCTTTTTTAAACTTGATTAAAAGGCTGCTGCTCAGTCTGCTTCCATCTTTGGGAACAGCAATTGAAAGCTTGCCTGTAGCTGTGTACCTGTACTGCAGCAAGTACCAACTTGTGTGATGTGAGGTACAGGAACCTTCCATGCTAGATAGACAGCCATATACGAAGACTTGATTCTATACTGTTAACCATAATTACAAAAGGGTAAGGTGGTGCAACGCTGAAGATGACTTCTTGGCTCTTTATGATTAGCTTAGCTGTATTTAAATAAAATGGAGACCCTCTTGCCAACCAGAGGTCACATGGAAAGTGGCATTGCTCTCCACTAAGACTGCTTTAGGGAGAGCAGTCCTAACTGCTCTGGGGCACTAAAAAGTGGTGGAGGTCACATACTACTTTAGTCTATTCTGGCATAGCTAAAGGTTGTGCCTTTGGGGAGTGGAGAAAAACCAGACCTGTAGCAGGCTAACATTTTGCATGTGTTCAGGTGATCCTGTAAGGCTGAAGAGAATTGCTTCCATAAAAGAGTAGAAAAGCTTAAATTCTTCTTAGTTTTGCTAAAGGCTACACTCTGGACTTCTTATTTTGAAGCCGTCTGATTTTAAACAAAAAACAGTGCGTCGGAAACAGTTCCTTTGTGAAAATAACCGATCTAATGGGCAGAAGATGCCATCTGTAAAACATGGCACAATAGCCACTGCAAGCATTGGCACTGCTACCAAGACGCTCTTAATTCTAGCTTCAGAGCCAAAGTTTCACAACCCTACCTTTTTTAATCTCTTGCATGACTTTGACAATTAAGCAAATTAACTCAGTGTCACATTACTCTGGTGTATCTCTTTCCTTCTTTCTATGTTGCTCCTGTCTTCTCCCTCCTTCCCTCCCTCTTACTCTGGCCTGCAGATCGCTCGCGAGGCTGAGGCCGCAATTTTTCACCGTCAGCTGTTTGAAGAACTTTTCCGCATCACTGCTAACATCAGGGACCCTGCTGATGCCATGGCTGTAGGCGCTGTGGAGGCCTCTTTTAAGTGCTTAGCACCAGCTCTGATAGTTCTGACCGAATCTGGCAGGTAGGGCTCCAGATAGGGGAAGTAAGATGTAAGACACTTTGGCTCTAGTAAGATAAATGATCTCTTTACTCCTCAGGTTGCAATGGGTAGATGGTCTAAACAAGGCGTATTCATGCTTCAAGTATTCCTGTAGGTAGAAACGTATCCCTTCCTACAAAAACACATCTGTTCACAGGAGGTTCACCATTTAAAGACTTCAGCCCTGCATACATTCCTAGTCTGAGGTTACATCATCCTTACTTCACAGTAGGTAGAAGCAGAGCAAGAGTGCCTGGCAGTTGGGCATGGATGTGAAGAGTGCAGGGTGAGGTGAAATGGCACGTGTTATGAGATTCAGAAGAAAAACCTCTTAATATCCTGGTGAGTGAAATTCTTCCTTTAAATTGGCCATTGCACATGCAGTATGCCTTGACTAAAAAGTTCAATCACCACCAGGGCACCATAGAACTTAACCGGTTAATCTTCTGAATAGCAAAATACTGATACCAATTCATACATGTGACATCCTGCTGGACATGGCATCTCACCTTACCCTGTGCCACCTGGGTGCTTGACTGACATGAATGTCGTCTTCCCCGAATGCGTGTTGCTCTTATAGATTGCTCGCGAGGCCGAAGCCGCCATCTTTCACAGGCAATTATTTGAGGAACTCCGTCGCCTGGCCCCCCTGAGTCGTGATCCTACTGAAGCTGCCGCTGTTGGTGCTGTGGAAGCTTCCTTCAAATGCTGCAGTGGGGCTATTATCGTCCTCACCAAGTCTGGAAGGTAGGAGGTGAAAGGTTCCCACAGGTCAAATGGACTTCTGTGACTAGGGGTGGAGGGGGATAAACGCTTCTTGAAGGCTTCCTTTATAAGCATAAAGTGGTAATGCTGGAGAGCCAGGCAGCTTCAAAGCTAAGGCTCTCTGTCTGCAATACTAGTTCCACTTGGAAGATGGACAAATACTTCAAACATCTGCAGATGTTTAATCTGTTATGTGGCTCTCCAGCCTTCCTTTACCAACTTGGCTTCGGCACCAAGAACGAATACTTCTATTGTTGAGAATTACCTCCTTGTTGCCAATAAGGCTTGACTAAAAAATTAACAGGAAGCAATTGCTGAAAGTTAGAAACAAACTGGCTGGAAAAAAAATCTTGGATTTAGCAGCAGGTCAGAAGTTCAATGGATGCAAAATCAAATTCTTTATTTCTGTTGTCAGCCCAAAAGGCTTTAAGACCTGCGTGATCGATTGTTGGGTCACTGGCTAAACCATTTTCAGTGGCTGTGCCTATCTCTGTCCTCTAATCACACACAGCTGGCTAAGTACAGGGGCTGTGAACCCTGGGTCTCAAAGCAAGAGGTCTCAAATTGGCAGATTTGAATATTGACGTTAATCCTCTTTGTTAAATTAACTGTTCCTATGTGCTGTGCTCAGATTAATAACACTAATATTGCTGCAGATTTCTAGACACTGGAATGTGCAGGACATGGACACTATGAACCTAGTAGCACAGGCACGGCTTCTGCAGTTTCTAGCACTGGCACTTAAGGATGCTGTTTGTGAACCACTAACTTGGGACACTCTTCTCCAGGTGATATAATAGACCTCATGGCTAAAATGATCCAGGAATAGGAAGAGTGAAAGGTCTTAAACCCCACTGATCAGCTCCACACAAAGGAATAGTAGGTCTAATTGAGCACATGCCCTGTGAACAATTGATTATCCTTCTAAAGGGTAAATCCTGGATTTTCCCACTAAATTGGGACCAACTAGGTAGTGCTGCACAGATGTCCTTAAATACACACAGCAGATATTCTGCATGAAGAACTGGACTGACTGAACTCTTAGCGTACCTTCAGCTTTAAAGCATGTTTCATACCAACCACTGTTTCTGCAGAAAGGGGAATGACTGTTGTAGACATAAGAGTTTCTGCGTGTCCATGTAACTCGTGCTCCTAAAGCTTCTGCATAAAGGCTTCTATTCTTACACCTGACCTTTCTGAAGATGTCTTAACTCTGATATTTGATTATTTTTAGTCCCGGATTATGTTACAGCCTCTGAATACCCTGTTCTTCAAGAGTCATAGAGGTGTTCTTCAGCTTAATCAATGACTTTTTGTTGCAAAAAAATAGAACCTTTTCCAGCCCCCCCCCCCAAAAAAAAACAACCCCCCAACAAAACAACCAAACACAAACCACTTCAGTACTTAAGCAGGGTTGGTTGGTTGGTTTGTTTGTTTTTTACCTGAGCTTGATTTAATAACTGGACCCTACAAATCTAGTTAATGGCATTGTATGTCATGCAGTCTTATTCTGTTCCATGGACTTTGGGAAGATTTAATTTTTGCCCAGGAATGTCTTGATCTCTTAGAGTTTCTGACTCTGACACTATAATTGCTGAATACAAATTCACTTGCTCCTACAATTTAAGTTCCATTCCTTCCCTGTCCCCTCCCCCAAGCTGCCACACTTGTACCCTATTAACTAGGGCAAGGGGGGGAAATTGTAGTTCATTCCAGCTTCTGCTGCTGGTGATGAGACACCTTTCAGCACCACTGATGCCCTGCTTCCTAACATTTCTCTGGGACAGGTTGAGACGGCCTTTACCATATTTGTTCCTTGTTTTGAGCATGGGCAGAGCTCTGTCTGACAAAGTAATTCAGTGCAGCTCTCATACTAACTTCTTAATTCATTCTAAACAGGTGGATGTGGGACAGCTGGATATAGAAAACAATTTAAAATAATATAATTTGAGGCCCTTTATGCTTTCTTCCTGCATGTTTGACTTGTGCTTTTCCTCTGGTTCCTAGTGATTTTTACCTTGAGTCTAGCCTGCTCTGATGGTCTGATCCCACCACAGTTTGCAGAAGAAGCAATCCTGATTCATATGGGACACCTTGGTGGTATTTCTTGCACATCTAAAGTGGCTGTTTGCTGTCACCACATCCTCCCAAATCAAGAACCAAATGCATATTAATTGTGCCATCCATGGAAGCAAAAGGCACAGAGCTCTGCCAGCCCAACCATCACAGATAATTAAAGCAAATGAGAATTGGCCTAGTGATGAAACCCATCACTTTTTCCTGTGGCAATGTAGAATCCCCTTATATCCTCCTGCACTGATTCATAGATGTCTTGTCTTTTCTTTTGTCATGGCTGATGGTTGACTTCTAAATATTGCTGCTAATGCAGAATCCTGCTCTTCTCCATACCTGTGAGAAGAGCAGTCAATCCTAACTTTCAATGTTTTGGGTTTTTTGTGGTTGGGGGGGGGGGGGGGGGGGGGGGGGGGGGTTTTTTTAAAACATTCTTATGGCCAAGAAGCATCTGTTTTTTTGTCCTGACACTCAGCCCTGTGACAGGAGAGACTCGTAGGGCCTGTCCTACCCTCTCACCAAGTAGATGGCCCTCCTCTGAACCCTCTCCAGGCTGGCCACATCTCTTTTAAAGTGGGGCAGGCAGTACTCCAACTGCAGCCTGACCAAAGTCACATAGATCAAAACAAAATTGTTGCTGACAATTGGTGCTGGAAACCAGCATACTTAGGGGGGTGGAGGGTTGGGCAAAGTATGATATTTCAAGAAATCCAGAAAATCAAGGTGAGATCACTGTCCAAGTCTCTGAGGGGGATTGATAGCTGCCCGCCCCCAATCCTAAAAGACCTACAATCCTCCTCTAGTGTGGATGGGAAATAGCCTTCCCGCTTATAACCTGCTCATGAACACCAAGGGTTAGGAGGCCCAGTCTGTACTAAGACGTTGCATGATGACAGAACTTGGCGGTTCTTGCCAGACTTGCCTTAGGTTCCCAGGAAGCCTACTTGAAGTATGTTGGGTGAACTTAACCAGCAGTTGATTGATTGAATGCTGGTTGTTCCTCTTGTTAATTGGTGATGGCACCAACCTAAATGCTGAGCACATGTTCCTGATCTTGCCTTTGTCCTCCCAGATTCTTCAGGGGCACACAAGGATCAGCCACCCAGAGCAACCTCATCAGAACTCAAGAAACCTAATTATTTGTCTTCCCTCCCTACTAGGTCAGCTCACTTGGTGTCCAGGTTCCGGCCACGTGCGCCAATCATTGCTGTGACCCGTAATGGGCAGACGGCACGCCAGGCCCATCTGTACCGTGGCATCTTCCCTGTTCTGTGCAAAGAACCAACCCATGATGCATGGGCTGAAGATGTTGATCTCCGAGTGAACTTGGGCATGAATGTTGGTGAGTCATGTGGCTTCACCTTTACTGTTTTGGGGTTACCAAGGCTTGAGGGAGAAATTCTTTCAAATATCTTACTATTTGAGGCTGGTCATACCGCCTGTGACAAAAGACAGGGCTTCCTCCAGAAAGGCTAGGTCCACTCCTTACTAGCCAGGTACAGCAGGTCTGAACTTTCAGTGTTTCATGTTTAAAAATTGCTCTTTAGCACCACAGCCTTACTTCCAGAAGTTGTGGCGCAAGAGTGTCTGTGTAGTTTTGTGTATGTGATGTGGGTGGCGACCTTTTTTCACTTTAGGGTCACATGGCACTAAGAGCCTTGGCATTTGGGGTTGGGATGGCTGTGTAGTCTGGTACTTTGCATGGAGGAAACAGCCATAGCTGAATCTAAGATTGCTGAAGATTACAGAGCTAATGCAGTGCCATAGATGTGACATGCAAGCCCTTGTGATGGACCAGAGCATTGGTTACTAGAGTGATAATACTGGTATAGCCGAGGAACCCCCCCCCCCACCCTGATGTAAGGCTGCCACCTTGTGGCAAGAGGGCATGCAGACAACTGATGGGAATGGCAGCTGCTTGAGCCAAGTGACTTGCAGCACAAGCATTAAATCTTGTCAAGGTGTCAATTTCCCTGCTGGACCTGCCAGAAACAAGTGGCATCTTCCTGCAGCTGGGTGCCCACCTGTTTTTTGGTAGGCTTCCTAACTACAAGTGATACCAGGCCCACTGGAGATAGTGCTTAACCAAACAGTTGCACAGACTTAGCTTACAGCTGCTCATGAATTTCTCTCTTCCAGGCAAAGCACGTGGGTTCTTCAAGACTGGCGATCTGGTTATTGTGCTAACAGGCTGGCGTCCTGGGTCTGGTTATACCAACACCATGCGCGTGGTGCCAGTTCCATGAACATCGACTCTTGGATCCAACCCAGCAACATCTTCCCTTGCCCCTGTCCCCCGCCCCTTTGCATTAGACCAGCAATTGCTTGCGATTGTTCTCCTTGTCTGTAGAGTGGATATAGGTTGCTAAATGCCACCAGGTACAGCAGCAGAGGGAGGAGACCTTTACATTACTAAAAGAGAAGAAATACTTGAAGTGTTTAGGTTTTTTTTTTTCTTTTTGTTTTGTTTTGTTTTCAAAGTACACTCCCTGCCCCCTCCTGCCCCACACCCCAAAGTGATACTGCCCTGATGTATGTTGGGAGTCGGTGTAGGAACTTCCTGCATGGTCTCTGAATGTGTGCTGCTGCTCCTCCTAGTAGCCTGGTTACTGTCCAAGGGCGTAAATTACTGTGTCTTTCCTTGCTCCGGTCTTGGGAGCGTAAGGGAAGGTAATAAGATGACTGTGGTTGACAGTTCCAATATAATGCTCTCTGCAATAGGCAGAGTACAGCCCGAAACCCTGTAGGTTCAGATGCACAACAACTTAATGTAATGCCCACCCTTCTCTGCCATGTCCTGAATGCACCTACAGACTTGTACTATCACTGATGTCACCACTGCACTCCAGTCCAGGAGCAATGGTAGATTAAGTCATGGACCTGTATAGCCACACATGAAGTGTGTAAGATTAGTCTTGTTGGGCTTTATTTTCCACTTGGATTTACAGTGGCTCTCTGGACTCCATAACTTACACTCAGCTAGTCATCAAGGATCTGAAACTCCAAAGCATGTTGATGGAAGACAAGGTGGATTTGGCTCTTAAGTCCTAGATAGAATAGTAACTTGCTTGAGACAAGCTACTGTACATCCCCCTGCTAGCATATATAGGGAGCCTAAAGAATGGAAGCTTCCAATCTACATGAGAAGCTGTGATTTTTAAAAGCCTCCACACAAGACCAAAATCTAAGGCATGGTGCAGGCCTGGGTTTCTTCTAGGCTAGTTGTGCACAGTGGGGGTTAGAAAAAGGACAAAGCAGGGTCTTTGGGTCTTAAAAGGTTGAGTGCTGTAGTCCCAGCTGTTTCACAAACTGCACTCCCACTTCTGTGCTGCTAAGAACTTGTGCTCCTGCCGCGGTGTCGCATATCTGTCTGAGTCGAGTAGTCACATTTCCTGAGAGCATTCTCCTGTGTTGTAAGTCTGGACAAATTACTGTAACAGGTGTATTGGGTTGTAGAGCACAACTATGTACATCAATAAAGAGAAGCTAAAGCACCCATCAGCCTTCTATTCTCCTTTTGGTGTTACCTGTTTTCTGCCAAGTGCTTATGTCAAGCCAGTGTCAGTCAGCACTGGAAAGCGAGCCTGGGCTGTCCAGGGTCTAGCCCTTCTCGCACTCGCAAATCCTGCCTGTCTGAATAAGAGTCTTGCCTTGTGGGCTTGCTAGACAGGCTGCCAAAGAGTAACTCTAGGATGGAAAGCCATGGAGATGTGTGCTTGCTTGTTCTGTTGTTCAGGAGCTCTCGGGAGATGCCAAATGAAGAAGGGGAAGCCTAGGGCCTGGTTTTAGGGGAGGAAATAGTTCAAGGTTTAATGTTAACTTTTCTGCCTGGAGGACCTGCTTAAGCTGTCTTGCCTCATGTGGGTCCCCTACCTCCAAGCACTTAATAGCTGTCAACTAATAGACTCCTGCATGGGCAAATAAATATTTCACCTCTCAGGCTCTACAAGTAAATGTCCTGTTTGGGGCTCAAACTTTCTACCCATTACTACACCACAGGGAACAGGGAGGAATATTTGGGCTCTCCAATATCCCAGGGACTTTCTAGCAGCCTCTGTGCCCACGGCAGGATGGAAAGGGTGAAGTCTAAGTACCTGGTCACAATGAGTCAGCCCTCCTAAGAGGTTGTGTGCATCAGCCCTTAAATAGCTCATCTTCAGCACAAGGCTCCCTGGGTGGGTGGGAGCAGTGGGCATGAGCCCTGTGTATTTGGAAAGGCTGAACCCCAGCAGAAGGCAACAGCTCTGGGAAGTGCTAGGTGCACGGATGTTTCATAAGCTGTCCTACTGTGAATAGTCTTTTGTGGCAAGATACTCCTTTCTCACAGATGAATGGCATCCTTGTCTGAAACCAGCTGCCTGCCAAATAGCTGGGAGACGGGGTGCTTATCCTTGAGGGTACAGTCAAATTGGCTGAGCTTGAGCTGATGTCTGACCAGAATTTTATTTTATTTTATATTTTTATGCCTTGCTCCATTTCTCCCCCTTCCTGGGACAGAACTCCATTGCAAGTCCCAGACCCATTTCCCTGGCAATATTAAGCAACAAGAAAGGCTCTGCAGTCACTAGCTGCCTTCTGTATGTTACAGATGGCCATATCTGCCCTGCCTAGCTGCTGGCAAGGGTCCTGTAATAAGCTAATCTCCTTAAGAAGCCCTTGAATTTACTACTATGCTCCTCACCTACATAGAATGGAAGTTGGATAGAAGCCAGCTATAAAGTTAGTAGTGCTTGAGACAGTGCAACAACCTTATAGCTGGCTGACTTTTTTCATAGCTGAATGAACAGTTTAATGGTGTCCATAATGACCTTGCCCATGTGGCCAGTCTAAATTTATTGTGTGATTAACCAGTTACTTTATGCACTATGTTATATGTGGCAGGGACCTGAGGCAAGCAAGTCATTGCTCACTGACTGGAACCCCCTTCTCACCAGCCTTTACTGATGATCATACAACTATCTAGGTGTCTGGCTATCCATCTAGATGGCTATCCATCTAGGTGCCTGGCTTAAAATAACCATTCCAGTACTCCTGTAAACTCCAGCTTTGCCATCCAGCTCCATTGTGCATGTAAGGAAAAGCTTGGGCAGAGGTAACTGCCTGTGCTACAGCAGTTCTTTGCCTCTGAGCCCTACGCAGAGCACGGTTCAAAGTGAAACCAGATTGGAGGAGCAGTTGGGGAAATTGCTCCGTTGGGAAGGACTTGCATATTCTCTAATCAGAGACTGGCTCAATAACTCTCCTTTCTCTGGTTCTTTACAGCAATGCTTTTCAATCTGTGGTCCGCAGACCCCTGGGGGTCCACAAATTATCTCTAAGGGGTCTATGAAAAATTACTATGATCAATCAAAAGTATGTGAATACCCACACTGACAATTCAAAGGGGTCTGCATCTCCGTTTGAAATTTCCAAAGGGGTCCAAAAATGAAAAAAGGTTGAAAACCACTAACTTACAGCCACGTTTGAAGGCGTGTGCCTGTTGAACGGCCTAGCACAAGGCTCCCACCCAGCTGCCACCCCCCATTGCTCCAGCTGCAGCAGCAGCCAGGAGCTCCAGGCTCCTCCCTTCAGTTTCTTCTTTCTGCCCCTGACCCAGGGTGCAGCTCAGTGCAACCTAACCTAGCCTTCAATGCAGAGGGGGGGCCCACAGCCTGGGGTGCCCAAGCACTGCCGTGCAGCAGAGGAGCTCGCAGCCAAGGAGCTAAGGGTGCTGGGGTGCCTGGGCACAGTGCAGCAGGGGAGCTGTGAGGAATAGCAGTGTCTAAAGGAGGGCTGATGCCAAATCAAGTTCATAGTAATACCTGAAAGTGCCCATCACCATGACATGCTGGCAAGCAGCAGGAAGGAAGGGGGCTCCCTCCCATCCACTTCTTCCTGCTTTTCCCCCATCAAAACTCTTGTGGCTTCCAGTGAGTAAGCTGTACAACACATGTGAAGTATCTGGACGATGGGCAGTGCTGGTGTAGAGGTGCCTCCAGGACATGGCTGCCTGGCTAGAAGAAGGGGGTCAGAAGAGTTTTTCAAACAGTTTGAGGGTTGTCAACATCCACTGCCTTGAGTCCAGCTCTGCCTCCTCCTCTCTTCATTAGTACCCAGTGCCAGCCTGAGCTGCTTGAAGTGAGTTAGTGGCGTCACATGTCCAGAGCAGGTGAATACAATGGATGGTCTCTGGCCGGGAAAGCTGCACAACCCCTTCTCTCTGGGCTTTCTCTGCGGCTCAAGGCTGAGATGCATTTGTTATCTCTGGAAGCTTGTGCTCCAGCTGCCCTTGTTCTGCAACCCCCAGCTGCAGAGTCCCGCAGTTGCTCCTCATTGCCTGGGATCCCGTAAGTCTGATTTTGGTATTAACCTAGAGCCCCGAAAGCCCTGTGTGGCTTGACTGATGCTGTGAAGCTTTTCTTTGTAACAGGCTATTTTATACAGGCCTCAGCTGCAGCTTTCACTAGGCTGGTCTGTCCTTCTCCCTCTGCCTTAGTTGCAGTATCACAGATAATCCTCGTGGGGGAAATGGGCCTTGTATCTCTGCTGCTCTGAAGTGCTACAACGCAGCAGCAGAGTGATATGATCAGCTGCTCTCTGGAGCATTTGTTTTGTAATCCTCTGCAAGTCAGTCATTTCCATGATGCCTTTGTCCTGAAGGACCCTTTTGCAGATGGGGAGTGTGCTTGTCTGTGCCCACATGCAGATTGCTCTACCTATCCGAGGAGCCGTTTCCAGCTTAGGTTACATCTGGTTAGTTCTGCCAGAGCCACACCACAGCCCTACGCCAGCGGTGTGAGGGCTCAGCTCTCGTTCCCTGTGGAAAGGACTATAGGAGTAGAGAAACCACGAGCCAGAGCTGGGTCCCTTCTCTTTTGTTTTAGTGGACAGCCAGGAAGTCCTCTCCTCATTCCAGGCAAGTGGGTCAGGAAATGCAGAAAGGAGTCCCACTTGCTGTTCATCACCCCCACTCCTCAATATCCTACCTGTTCCCTGAAGTCTCCCACCCCTGGACTGACCAGCCTTGACACTGCTTTGGTTAGGAGAGTGCAGCATGAGCCGGGCTAGGAAATAACAGCCTTGAAAGTTAGAAAGTTAGAATTCAAGAAGCCCTGGATTTATCATTGAGAACAGATGCTCCAACCTCCCGGGAATGAAAGTGGCATCAGCGTCTAGACAGATTGAGCAGGCCCCCACGTTACACTGCCTTTTGGCAATCTCAGGACCTGTTTGCAATGGGACTGAGTCTGGCTGAAATGTTAATTTTGTTAAGCCTCAAATTATTTCATTTTACTGTCTGGTGTTTAGGCTTTTGTACCCAACTGGCTTTAAAATAAAGAGGAGAGTGCACTTCTGATATAGCCCACCAGGGGAGGAGCTTGCATCAGGATTGTCAGTCTAGAGCAGCCCGCAGACACTTCTTCTATCCCAGCTTTATCCACCCCCCACCCCCTCCTTTTGATTACTATTCCTGAACTCTTTTTTTTTGGAATCCAAATGTATTTATATATACAACGTCATTCCCATGTGCCCTGGCTCTTTACAGGAACAGAGCATTACAGCCCTAAAGGGGGAACCGGGTGTTTTAGCTGATGTGCAGAAAGGAAAGTTTTCAACTGAAGATTTAACAAGAGGAACCCCAGATCTAGACCATTTCCCTCGGGGCCGGATGTTTAGCCCACCAGGTAACTTAACCTAAATGAAATGAGTGTCATGTGATTCGGTTAAATCCTTAGGTCTCTCCCTCTGCTCTCGGTCTGGAAGGGGAACAGATTGCACTGGTAGACAGCACTTCGATACCAGCATATCTTATCTTGGGACAGCAGTACAAACCCATTCCTATACAGGGTTACAAGCAGCTGTGAGAGGTTTCCAACCACATCTCCTCTCTCTAGCCTGGCATGAGAGGCCCATCTGTTGTCCCGATCCCATGACATGTGAGGTCTCCTGTCTGCCGGATTCGGGATGTGACAGAGATGTTCCTGAACCTTATCTGGTCCGCTGATCATTATCCCATGGTCCTAATCCATGTGGGTACTAATGATGTAGCCAGGAACAGTCTGGATCACCTCATGAAGGACTACAAGGCTCTGGGGGCCAAGCTGAAGGAGACAGGGGCACAGGTGGTCTTTTCATCTGTCCTCCCAGTGAGCAGATGTGGACGATGCCATGAGACCTGCATCAGGGAGGTCAACTTGCGGCTTCAGAGCTGGTGTTATGAGACGGGCTTTGGCTTTTTGGACCATGACCCATACTTCCGAACAAGAGACATGTTTGGCTGGGATGGGCTTCATCTCTCCCCCAAAGATAAGCGTGTGTTTTCTTTCAGGTTGGCTGATCTCCTCCGGTGGGCTTTAAACTAGGTTCGTCAGGGGAAGGGGAGGACAAGGCCAGAGGGATCCATGGAGCACTGAACCATGAGATACCCACAAGACCAGCCCAGGTAAGTATCAAAGGTTGTATTAGGCAGGAGTATAGGGGCGTTCCAGGGGCAGCCACCGGGGGAATTAAGTGGATATATACAAATGCCAGGAGCATGGGTAACAAGCAGGAGGATCTGGAACTCTTGCTTGCGAGCAATAACTTTGACCTAGTGGGACTAACTGAAACCTGGTGGAACTCTACTCATGACTGGGTGGTAGGAATAGAGGGCTGTAGGTTGTACAGGAGAGCTGGAGAAGGGAAAAAAGGAAGGGGTGTCGCTCTCTATGTCAAAGGACAGTACACATCTTCCCTAATCAAACTGGGATCAGAGAATGGACAAGCAGAGACTCTGTAGGTTAGGATCTAAGGGGGTCGGGGGGGAAAGGGACCTGGTGGTGGGGCCTCCGCACCAGAACACAGGAGGTAAAGAGTCCCACCAGGGGTAACGCCTTGCTCAACTTGGTGTTGGCCACAGGGGATGACCTGGTGGAGGACCTGCAGATTCAAGGCAACTTGGGGGACAGTGATCACCAAATGATAAAATTCACTATCCAGAGAAGGGCAGGCACTATACCTAGCAGGACACAGGTGCTAAACTTTAAAAAGGCTGACTTTAATAGGCTCAGGGGACTGGTTAGCAGGGTACTAGGAACCAAGAGCCTAGATGCTTTGGGGGTCCAGGAAGGGTGGTCGTTCCTCAAGGATACCATTCTTTGGGCTCAGAGTGAGACAATCCCATGGCAGAGGACAGGGGGCAAAGGGACCAGGAAGCCCCTTTGGCTAACCAGAGTCATCCAGGATACCATAAGGGCAAAAAAAGTAGCATACAGGAAGTGTTCAAATCACCGGGACCAGAGGGACTCCACCCACAGGTAATGAAGTAATTAGCGAGTGCCGTAGCTGAACCACTAGCAAGGATATATGAGCGCTCATGGTGCTTGGGTCAGGTCCCAGAGGATTGGAAGAGGGCCATTGTCATCCCAATCATTAAGAACGGGAGGAAGGAGGACCCGGGGAACTATAGACTGGTCAGCCTTACCTCTATCCCAGGGAAGATCCTAAAAAAAATTATCAAGGAACACATCTGTGGGAGCCCGCTGGCTAATGTGATGCGGAGGGGCAACCAACATGGGTTTAGCGGGCAGGTCCTGCCTGACTAACCTAGTTTCTTTTTTACGACAAGGCCACCAAATGTTTAGATGCAGGAGTCGAGGTGAATGTTATCTATCTGGACTTCAAGAAGGCCTTTGACACAGTATCCTATAGCATCCTTATTAATAAGCTAAGGAGATTTGCCTTGGGTGATTATACAGTAGAATGGGTAGCAAACTGGTTCAGGGTCACACTCAGCGGGTGGTGGTGAATGGGTCAGTGTCAACCTGGAAGGCTCAGTTCTGGGGCCAGTGCTGTTCAACATCTTCATCGGTGATCTGGATGAGGGGGTGGGAAGCACCCTGTCCAAATTTGCAGATGACACAAAAATATGGGGTGAAGCTAACACCCTGGAGAGGAGGAACCAGACCCAGGCTGACCTCAACAGGTTGGGGAAGTGGGCAGAGAACAACAGGATGCAATTCAATAAGGACAAGTGCAAGGTGCTGCATCTAGGGAGAAAAAACTGCCATCGTGCCTATAGGCTGGGGGACGACCTTCTCAGCACCACTGAGGCAGAAAGAGATCTTGGAGTCACTGTTGACTCCAGGATGAACATGAGTCATCAATGTGATGAAGCAGTCGGCAGAGCCAATCACACCTTGTCGTGCATCCGTAGGTGCTTCACAAACAGGTGCAGGGAAGTGATTATCCCTCTCTACACGGCACTGGTCAGACTGCAGCTGGAGTACTGTGTCCAGTTCTGGACGCCACAGTTCAAGCAGGATGTGGACAACCTGGAGAGGGTCCAAAGAAGGGACATGCATCTGACTGGAGGCCTGCAAGGAAGGTCCTATGAGGAAAGGCTAAGGGACCTTAACCTCTTTAGCCTCTCCAAGAGAAGGTTGAGAGGGGACCTTGTGGCGGCGTGCAAATTCATAAGCGGGGAGCAACACGAAGTAGGCAGTGATCTGTTTGCCAGGGCATCCCCTGGAACAACAAGGAACAATGGCCATAAGCTACTGGAGAGTAGGTTTAGACTGGACATTAGGAAAAAGTTCTTCATGGTCAGGGTTGCCAGGATCTGGAATGGGCTTTCAAGGGAGGTGGTGCTCACCCCATCCTTGGGGGTCTTCAAGAGGAGACTGGACAGGCACCTGGCTGGGATCACATGACCCCAGGTTTGGTGACCCTTTTCTTGCCTGCCAGGGGCAGGGGGTTGGACTAGATGGCCCACTGAGGTCCCTTCCAACCCTGGAATCTATGAACCTATGAATTAAGGAAAGGGGCAGTAACACACTCTTGGTGTGGAAGGGGAGATACAGGATAGCAAGAAGAGCAGGGCCTCAGAGTGACTTGGGGAGAAGACAAGAAAAGCCAGTCTGATGTGACTGGCCATGAAATCATGGTTCCAACGTAGCCACAGCCCCATCAGAACCAGAGGTTGCTTAGTTGGATCCAGTTTTTCAGGGAGTTGATTTTCTTGATTTTTTTGGAGCCCGGAGGGCCTACAGATCATCAAGTATGGCCTCCTGCATAGCTAGACTAGAACATCTGACCTAGCCACCCCTGCACTGGTCTCAGGTCACTGGTAAAGGCTTCACGTGAGACACAACCTACCGTGTCATTAAATATGTCCTTCCAGAGATTAATGACTTGCAGTCCTATTTGTGTTGTGAATTTGTCTACCTTCAGCTTCCAACCATTGAACCATGTGATGTCCTTCTCAGCTAAGCCACCTGTTCACTGACATTCTTTCCCCATGTAGGCACTTGGAAGCCGTGATCTAGTCACCTGCTCTTGGATGGACTAAATGGACCAAGTTTCTATTTTCTCCTCCAGTTATAGCCTCAATCATTCTTGTAGTTCTTTCTTCCACAGCTAGACAGCTCTTTATCCATCAAGAAGCAAATTCTGTCCAGTTATTGTCTTTTGTTAGACCAATTTTATGGTTGGGAGAGAAGTTAAACAAGCTTCTGGACATTAGGAAGATCCTTCCTCAGAAGCAGATGTGGCCTAAGCTAAAGAGCAGGTAGAATAATTACTTCTAAGTCCATTATATACATACATGAAAATGATTGCTTAACACAGGAAGTGGGCAGTAAATGTATGGAGCAAATAACAATTATCAGGAAGGTCTTGGTCTGTAGATATAGTTGCTATAGATAAGCTTAATTATTTAAACGAATGAGGTGATGCAAAAGTGAAGAGGTCTATTATCATCTGTGGAGCACAAAAGTTAGCAGAGGGAGCAGGTAATAATGAGCCATAAAACCATTATTCGATTAAGACCTTGGGTTTTGATGTCCAGCAAAGATAGGACTTTATGTTTCCAGGCTTGTCTTCTGAAAGCATTCAGTAGGTTTCTCTTGAGGACAAGGACTATGAGGTCAGAGATGGAGTACTTATTCTGTGTAAGTGCTCTCCCAACGGTGAGTGGATGCTTTTGTCCTGCATCATTTTCCAGTGAGAGTTCATTCTGGAGTGTACTGGTTGTTTAGTTTCATCCACGTAGTTTCCATGAGGGCATCTGGTGCGTTGGATGAGGTGTATCACCTTTAGTGATAGACATGTAGGATCCAGGGATTCTGATGGCTTTATTGTGGGGAGTGTTGATCGCGATGACAGTGGGAATGTGTTGGCAGGTTTTGAATCTGCTGTTTAGGCAGAGCCTAGTTATGTGTTGACTATACAGTTGGTCCAACAAAAGTTACATTACCTTCTTCCAGCATAAGAAGGCAAGAAAGCCTCTTGTATCAGATGACTATAATGCCCAACATTTTGCCCATCAATCATTCTTTTAGTGCACTTACCAAGAACTTTCTCAGGAAGTCTTTTATAGCTCCATAAAAGGCCCATAAAATATTTGTAAAATATTTGGCCAGTCCAGAGAGAGCTGTGGGCATTTGTAAACTTCCAGAATCACTGCATCATCCTCTTGATTTTAGCATCTGATCCATTGCCAAAGCAGGGGGTTTTCATTGGGAAAGAAACCTGCCACTAAGATCCCTTCAAGCTCTGATGGGATCTGCATGGGCTGCTAATGAATACCCGCTGGTGACCAAGGGGCGTCACGTTGTGTGCAGCATTTCTGTGGCCCGTACCAGCACATGCGGGGCTGAGGGGCTTTGACCCTAGCTGACTTCCTGCCCCTTGGGCAGGGGGCTGGATGAGATGATCTTGTGAGGTCCCTTCCAGCCCTAATGCCTATGAAATCTGTGACAGTCTCCCATCAGCACTGAGCAGCTCCTGGACTCAGTGAGAAGCAGAGGTCAGCATAGACCTTGCAAAATTGCCTTATTAACCTTGCTATGGGACTTTATTCCAAGGAACAAGAAGGAGCCTGAGATGCAGATGCTGAAGGCTGTTCATTAGCAACACCCAGCAGTGAGGGGAGGAATGGGCGGGTGTACACTGCTTCATTTAAATACAAGGCCATGTACAGCTGACATTAGCACCACCCTCCCTGCTTGTACCTGCAGAGAGTGATCCTCCACCAGCCCCCAGTACCAACATGGACTCAAGCAGGAGCCTACCTTGGAGCTGTCTCTATATAACAGTACAAATGCAGTGCCAAGGCAGACTTCAGCCCCATCTTTATTTGTGGTTCACACAGTTGCCATCCCAGCAGGACCTGCTGTGCTGAGTAGGCTCCTCTCACCATCCAAGCAACCCACGGCCCATTGTTGTCCAGCAACATGTGGCCCCTGCTCCAGAGACAGCTCCTTTCCCAGGAGACAGTGGTGACTTCAGACATGTGGGCTGCTGACGTATGTAGATACCCATGCCACTCTCGAGCTGGGCGTCTGCTCCTTTCAGCATGATGCCCTACTTTCTCACCCCTCCAGGTGGACAGTTTGGCCTGCTGACTTGAATATTAGAGTGCCTGATGCTCTCATCTGCCACGTCTTGGTGTTGTATTTACTAAGAATGGGAGGAAGGTTTCATATCTCCTTGAATAGACACTTGGTCAGCTTAGGCAATGTATCCTGGGGCTCCGCCTCCCCTATGCCCCACTTGGCACCAACCCATTGTTAGTATGTCAACTTAGGTAAGTAAGTCCTTGCTGCCTCTCTGCTGCGGCTTTCAAGAAAGTCCAGGCCACTAATATGAATCCTAGATCTCAATAAGCAAAATAAATATTTCCTAAACCTAAATGAATCCTCGCAGCATAAATACTCTTTCTTTACACACAACATCTTCTGTGAGACCTTAGCAGTATTTCCCAGGGAAACACACTGAAAGTCTTCCCCAGTAAAAGGGCTTGAGAGTGACTAGTGCTCCAATCTCTCACTGCCCTCATCACTCACGGTTTGAAGTTTTACTCTTTTTTTTTTCTCTCCACAGGATCCTCGCCACTTGGAGACCACTCATCATTTGGGGCATCCGCAAGGACCTGGCTGGTAAGTTAACAGGCTCCTCCAAGCCTCTATTCATGCAATGCTGCCTGGGCTTCCACCATTCGCCCCTCCTGGGGCACTTTGTGCCTAGACGCTGTTCTTCACAGCGCCAGGCTTCTGTTTCTGGTCCTCTCCCCTTCCTGTCTCAGGCTGCTCTTTCTGTCTTTCATGGTTCATCCGGCCAATCGGAACTGGAAAGCACTAACAAAGTGTGCCTGTGCCGGTGTTGGGGTTTCCCTCCTTGGGGTCGGCATCAAACGCAGTGGCTCATCCATCCACCAGAGCTTCTCCTCCACTTCCGCTTCATCTACTTTGGTGGCAGCTGGCTTCTCACTCCCACAATGTGACTCTGCTAGGAAGGGAACTGCTGGAGCTGGTGACCAACCCCCCGACGGAGAACTTTAGGCCTCTGGAGGCCTCAGCGCACATTGCAGCCCTTGGCTGGTGGGAGACCCAAGCTGTAGCTGTAGGAAAACCTTCTTGCATGCTCTGGCATGGTCAGAATAGGTGCCTGCCACAGCACTGTGGTTCTTGATGACTATGCTCAGTGACCCCCCATCTCTAGGGCTAGAAACACTTGGGTGACACTGATCTCCTCTCCAGCCCAGAAGCCTTAATATCCTTCCCACAATGCTCTTACCTGGATGGGAATGATGAAACAAGACACGGAGGAGAGAAAGGGAGTAGTAGGCAAGGCCACATGAACATACTTGTGTGTATGGGCATGTGGGGTGCTCCATGCTGTGCCTGCTCCTTTGAGGACGTGCATTTCTCCCTGCCCTCACTCAGCCACCCCGGCTCTGTAGGCTGGGCACTAGCAGCTCAGGCTTTGAGCTCTTGAAGTCCCCTGCTCAGCCCTCAGGACATTAGCCAAAATGGCAGCCCCCACTTAAATCAGGAATTGTTTAGCCCCTTGTGTGGTGCCAGATCCTTGGATGGGACAAGCTGCCATAGCTCCGCTTAAACCAATGGGACTATTCTGATTGGCACCACCTGAGGATTTGGCCCACAGGCCCCAGTGAGGCTGTGCACTAACCGCGTCTACGGCCAAGTTCCTTGCCTAGAGGGTGAGATGGGAGTTTTCCTATACTCCAGTGGGGGCCAACCTTTTTGGTAGGCATGACGCAAATTAACTCTGCACCCGTCCCGAGTGCCACACCTATTCTCTCCCTCTACTCAATCTGCTGCTCTGCTTTCTGCTCCCTGCCCTAGCTGCTACTGTGTTGCCTGTCCCCTCTCTGATCCATCCCCTGCCACACACAGAGGTTGGCCATGCCACATGTGGTACCCATGCCAGTTTTGGCCTCCCTTGCTATATTCCATCCCTCTCAGAGTAGAATAGATATTGGTACAGCTCTTGTTTTCTTCCCTTCCTTGGCGGTCTCCCCAGCCCGATGCAGCAGGGCAATGCCTGTGGAAACTTGCCCTGCTCCCAGGGAAATGCATCACACTGGCTGCTGCAAAACCCGAGTGCTCACAGCTTTTCAGTGTGCCCCACAGAAATGGCCATCCCTCCAGCAGTTGAGGAAATGCTATTTACTGCCTAAAGACTGTTCCTTGCCATGATGCAGCAATTAGATTATGTAAGAGTCAGCAGGTCAGATGATGCAAGTTTCATGGGTGTGAACCCAGAGCAACCACACAACAGTCATGGCATCTACTCCAGATTTATGTCAGTATAAGGCAAATTGAAGTCTGGCCAGGGGCACTTCTAATAGAAGCAATTTGTTAAGGGGCCAGGCAGATGCTTGTCACTTTGGCCCTCTCTGAGATAAGGTTTGCTCCCAGCTACACACTCTTCCCTAGCTCCCTTTTCCTCTTGACTACAGCACGGTCCTGCTGGCGGCATAAGGGAAAGCTTCTTATCAGGGAATGTGTTTGAAACCTTAGGGCCAAGTTTGCAGCTTGTCAAAATTGTTACTGGTCTCCAAGAAGTTGCAGTGATTCACACCACTTGGAGCCTGGACTCTTGGACCCTGGGGGATTATTCATCCTGCCTATACAAGTGGATCAGCCCCATTGCTTTCTCTGGGGTTATTCCTCCTTCACACTGGTATAGCTGCAAGCCGTTTTGGTCCAGGTGAGCACTGTTGCTCATAGGCCTTTGTCTGTTGTCACTGCAGCAAAGCTGAGCTGCTCACTGTCTGCCAGGAGACACTGACCCTGTGACAATCCCCGGCTTTAGCAACGTTAATGCAACTGTCTCAGCAGAGCAGTGCGTGCATGTGGGGACAGCTCATCCCACCTCAGGTCTATGGGTCACAAAAGATTTGGTCAAGGTGAAGCCTTGCCAGGCCCCATGCATCCCTCCCTCCCTCTCTCAGGGGATGGATGCTCCAGTGCTCAGTGCATCGTAGCGGAGTTGGAGACCTGAGCTCTCCATCTGCAGCATGATTTGGGTGAGTCCTTTGACTTCTCTGCATCTGACTTCCTTGGCTATGAAACCCCTGTGGGCAAGAGTAGCCCCAGAGCACAGGGAGCCTTTGTTCACCCAATGTGCTTGGAGAGCCTCAGCTAGAAGGCAGCTGAGACAAGTGGAAAAACTTGCTAATGGAAATGGACTTGGCTCATGGACAACACTACAACTTTTATTTAGGGGCTGAAGATTTTTTGCTTCCCTTCTGCCCACCCTATAGGCAACAGCAATGATTCTGCAGCCCTCTGGTTTGGTAGTCTTGACTCAGCTGGGACCGGTGCCTGACCCCATCATCCCCTGGCAGTGCCTTCTTGCTCTTATTCCTGGTACGATGAATTGTTCAGAAATCACTCCAAGCCAAAGGGTCTGACAGACGCCTGCTTCCCCCTGCATCTGCATTCTGCCAGCTCAGCAGTGTGCGATAGGAACCTCTGGACAGTATCGCAGCCCCAGTAAGGTGGAGTTCCCCATACAGAGCACTCACCCTTTTCACCAGAGTTAATGGGAACAGCCCAGTGCCCAGCTCTGCTAAGAAGTTGGCACCAAATGCCAGAATGTTTATGAGCATATTGATGGCTGGTTACCTGAAGTGCCATTTGCCACTAAATGTGGGTCAGTAAAGCAGCCATTTGACCTCTAGCATTGCCTGACCACTGGGATAGAGCTGGCCCTGTTCATTAACCAAATTCTGTCTGCCTCAGACGGGCATTTTATGGCCTTCTGGCTGAGGCTTCTGAAATTCTCGCCTTTTCCAAACCAAACATATCAAATTCAATCTCCGATCCTCACGTGGATCAGAGGAGGAGCTGGTTTTGGGATGCAACGACTAACCCCTGAGAGAGGAAACCACAATGGGTATTTCCTGGCCTGTGAGTCTAAGGCAGTACATCAGGAGCCCAGGCTGGCTCTCTCCCTAAGCTTAGGATCATAGCAGGCAGGAACATGCCCTGTAGCAGAAACCATGGTAATGCCTGGAAAGGAGCCTCCAGGCCAAAGGAGGCTTGGTAGGAGAACAAAGGGGAAGCCAGGATGAGGTGGGAAGACCTTGAAGAAGGAATCAGTAGCACGGAAGAGGAGGGCTAGCAAGAGAGGGCATGTCTGTGCCATGAGCTTCTGCTTCAATGGAAGAGGATTTAGCTTCTCAGCAGGGGTTAAGGGCACGACTGCTTCTTCACCGTGCCAAGATTTTGAGTGGAGAACTCCTTCCTCCAGTGGATGGGGGGAGCAGGGTTCACCGCAATACCACTGGGGTGGGAGGTGGGCTGGGGTCCTACCGGGACTTCCCTGGTGCCTGGCTGGGAGTTTGTACTCGTGCGGGGGGTCAAACCAACTGCCAGATGTGGCCTCACCGAGGGACTTCCCCCACAGATCAGATTGGCAAGGACTGCACAGCTTTTTGCCTTCCTGAGCAGCACAGAGAACGGCCTCCTGCCTCAGATCACCTGCGCCTATATTCACCCTCCATATTCCTTGCTATTGCAGTCCCAGGGCACTGGGGGAACTCTTGTCTGGCCAGCTCAGGTGTGTGGTGGGCTTTTTCATAAGTTGCTTTGTGGCTGTGGCAGGTGAGGGGAGTCTAAGTGAGACAATATAGTGGATCCTTCTGGACACATAGTTGCCTGCAAATGCAGGGGATGGGACTTGATGGGCCACAAGGCCCCTCCCAGTCATAGTTCAAGCAGTTCACATTACTATAGTGATCCTATCAAACTCTCTCGGATCCCTCCTCATCCAGAGGTTTCAAAGTGCTTTGCACAGGCAGGGGGCAGCGTTAGTGGGGTTGTGTTGGGGGTCCTGGACTGGAGGGAGAGCTGTGGGAAAACCAAGGCATGGAAAGCCAAAGGGCCTGATATTCAGAGGCTCTGAGCACCCTGGTCTCTAGGTAGGGTCAGTGGAAGCTGCAGGTGCTCAACACTGCTGGAAATCAGGTGACTGCACAAGCTTTTGGAGTAAGGTAACTGCAGAGCTGGAGTTAGAGTCCAGGAGCCCGACTCCCAGCCCATGGCTTTGCTGGGGAGCAGGACTAGGGGACGGAGATCGGGGAATGTGAGAAATCCCATACCGCCCTGTAGTCTCATATCACATGCCCTTGCCCAGCATTGACAGGAACAGGAAGGGGGAGAGCCCACAGAGATGCCAAACATGGAGAAATGCTGCATGTGTTTAAGTGCTGCTCCGAGCAGTTGGAGCCAGGGTGCGGAGGGCCTAGGGGCCTGGGCTGTAACTGGACCTCGGAGAGGCAGGTGGGTAGGCAGGTTCTTGTGGGCACAGTAGGCAGAGAGGGAGGCAACCAGGACAAAGGGCTTCCAGCCCCACCGTTAGGACTGCCCAGGAAGGGGCAGCCTCACAAGGGTCCTTCCTCTTTCAAACCCTGGTTCAGCCCCCAGGGAGATGGATAGAAAAGACCCCAGTGGCTTCAACAGGAGAGTGTCCCAGCCCTAGATGCTGCCCAGCAGGGGAACGCATTGTCCTTTCCGTGCATCCTGCGGTTGGTGTTGAGCTCGCTCAGACTGAATTTCCCCTTCACACCATCTCTTTGTCCCACCTTTGTTCTCCCAAGGAAGTAGCCTGCTGGGCTGAGCGCTAGGGGATGGATCAGGCCCAGTGCAGAGTGGCTAACCCTGGGCAGGGGTACAGGGGCAACAATGCCACCACAGAGGCATGGCTCACAGGGGAAGTCCCCATGGCAGCCAGGTTTGTGACAGGTACAACGGTTTGTGCCCTATGTTTTGCTAAGTGAGCTGCCGGAAGACAATGTTGGATGAGACCAGGCTGATCCCCAGAACTGAGATAGCTATGCACTACTTGAGCACAACATTATAGGCTCCATGTGGGGGTAATAGGTTGGCATCTGATGGCTTGTTGCATGAGATGATTTGTGACCCTCGTGTCTGCTCGGGGACTTTACCAGCATTAATGCACAAAGCTCCCAGTGCTCCTGGCAGAGGCCAGCCCACATTTCTCATCCTCCAGATGAGGAAACTAAGGCATAAGGAAGATTGAAGACAACACCTTTGGGTGTTGGAGTTTTTGGTGCCCAGCTTGAATCACCTGGGGCCTTGCTTTTCGACGAGCTGAGCCATTGACTTCCACTGAAGCTCAAAACAAGGCCTGGGTGCCAAAGAGGAAGATGCCCAAAGACAGTGGCTGCTGTCGGCCCTTTTCACCAGGGTTGTCCAGTAGGCTAGCAGCAGGAGGAATGAAACCCAGGTCTTCTTGTTCCCCAACCTGCCCTCCATTTTAGCTGCCCCCCCCCAACCCCGCTTGTGACTCTGGATTTCTTCCAGTTGAGGAGGCTGAGATAAGGGAGCTGTTCCTCAGGCACTGAGCTGTGGACTCAGGCAGACAAGTAAGGATCCGAACCAAACAGCTGTGAGCTTCCCAGGTTGCACCCTGTCCTGGGAGGGGTGCCAATGGCACAGAGCAGCCACTAATTAAATCAGCTGCACTCTGAAAATGTGGGAGAGTAAAACCAGCTCTTAAAGGGAAGGAGGAGCTGTGGAGAGAGCTGTTGTGTAACCGGAGAGCCTTGCAGAGTGAAGGGTGTGGCGGGGTGTAGGGGAGGGGAGGAAGGAAGTCTGATTGTCTGAACTATTCAAACCCAAGAATTTATTGTCAAAGAAAATGGAAAGTGCTGTAATAACAATTACTTGTGGTTTCCTTATTGTTCAGCTGCCAGCCAGTCACCTACTGAGTAAATGAGGTTTCTGGATGGGGTGGCAGGGGTGCTGCCGAAATGTCTGCCTGTGCAACCCCACAGCTTCCACCAAGGAAAGGCAGACCAGGACACAGTCCCTCCCCGTGGGCTGTGGAAAGCCCAGGCAGGGCAGGTGGGACAGGCTCGATTCTGGGAGCCAGACACCTCGGCAGCGTAGGGCCAGACGCCTCTGTGATGCAGGTGGCGATGCAGTAGTGTGTCGGGGAATGGGCCATGGTGCCCCGTGTGATGGGAACAAGTTTGGCAGTGGGGGGCGTGCAGGCTATTCTTGGCTCATGTATCGCGGGGTGAAATGGGTGGAGGCTTAATGGGAAAAGCTACCCGCTGCGGTGAAGGCGATGGAGCCCCATCCGCACATGATCTTATACCTCTTGTAAGTCACTTTCCCAGCATCTCTCTTTCCTTCTTTACCCCCTGTCCCTCCCCACCAGATACACTGCCCTGGCTGCACGTACCTGGTGGACACTGAATGAGTGGAACTGACACTGGCTCAGCCCTTTCACTGAGCTGGCAGCTTGACCCTTCAAACACCATCTTGCCAGGGCAAGCTACATTCGCAGGCATAACAAGCAGGGTCCGGCCCCAAACAGATGGCAGCAGGAGCAGTGGCACTGGCAGATGCTGCCATTCTTATGCCCCCTCTGAGTGCGCACCTGGTGCTGGTGCCTTTTTTTACACTTCTGGCTAAACCTCTGAGAACCCCTGGCTGGATTATTGCAATACCTATCTAAACATGAAAAGGAGGAGGAGCTAAACTACTGAAAAATGTCCAACTAGATCTAGTAAAAAATGTTCACCCCTTCCTGATTGTTTTCCATCATAACATGAGCTTTCATCACTGCAGAGTTGTTCCACAGGAAGACGACTGTCAGTGACATTCTGGGTTTTCCAAAGCAGCCTTTCATGCCCAGATGTCTTATTTTGAACTGTCCGGACGAACAGGAACATTTCATCTCAAACACTTTGACGTGAAGCCTTTCAGTCTGAATCAGCCTTGACATTTCCAACTCCAACATTTTTGGGAAGACATGATGTTTCCTGGGAAATGGGGTGACTTGTCTTCTTTGTCCTGCTAGAAGATGAAAACAAAATGTTGAAATATTAGAATTCCCCACAGGATGGAAACTCCGCTCTCCTACAGCTCTTGTCCAGCTACTACAAAGCACAACGGCCCATCTGCTCTCCGCAGGTCAGTGAGAATGTGTCACCCGGCTGCTCTGCTCTCTGCACTTGCTCGCACTCAGTGGAGTCCAGTTCAGTGGTCCCATCCAACGGCTTTTGCTGTGATTAGCCCTGCCTATCTGTGAGATCCTCTCTCCCCCTGTGACCGTGACCTTCCATGACAGCTACAATTTACTGGCACAATAAAACTGTTGACCGGGGCAGGATTGAGACTGTGGAACTTAATCCTGCAAGAGTTCAGAGATTATAGACCTCACTGCACTCAGTCACATGCAACCCTCAGCTCACGGCTCTTTATGCAAGCATAACACGCCGACTCACACCTGCACACCAGCCTACGCACACAGCACTGTGACTTTCCCCCATACCCAGAGCACCTCAGCACACAGAACGCACCCACTCACATGCAAACACCCTGTAAACTACAGGCTGAGAGGCCAGAGAGACAGATTTTGCTTCCATTTTGAATGCCCGTGGTGCCCTCCAACACTGTGTTAACAGATAGAGGCCAGCTAAGTCCCCACACATATAGATCAATTCCATATGCCACCTTTTATGTCATCACTGAGTCTGGCCCATCTCCTCTGGCTGCATGACACACCTTGCAGGAAACCTTTATTTAGCAATATATGCTAAAAATAGCTTCCTGGAGCAGACGTGCGGTCCCGTAGCAAGGTCTTGTTCACTTCCAGAGCATGGGAGGTGGCCTCAGAAATGGCAGGTGCTGAGAATCAGGAAACGGTCTCAGCAAAAAAAACAGCTAAGCCTTGGCTAACCAGGAAATGCTCGGTGATGGCAGCACCTCGGTGAACGTGGGAGATTCATCCGCTCGCTGACGGACCTTGTAATAATATTGGAGGCCCCACTTCCCACAGCCGCACCCCTACCCCTTTGCTTCCTGTCTCTCTGGATTATTATGGGACACCCGCTTCCCACCCCCCACAATTGCTAAGACATCTGGAGGACACCTAGGAGGCCATCTGGGTTCTGGTCCAGAGCTAACTATAGCACTTTCTCCCACTGGGTTGTCCTGGAAAGGCTCTTTGCCAGTGGTAGAGCTGTGGCTGAAGAAGCTACCTGGTGAGGCAAAGAGATGAGAGGGAGAGAAATTACTAAGGTAGAAACTACTTCTATCTGCTTTTGAGAGCCCCAGGACCACTATGCAGTGCCATGGGGGCTCCCCAGAATACAGCGCCAGCCTGCTCCTGTATCTGTTGCGGGGGGTGGGGGGTCCAGAAAGGGCTGAAATGAATCAGGCTGGTCCAGGACTCCTCCACCCCGGGCAAACTTTCAGCAGCCTGATGAGGACAGCTGCAACGCCAATCAGCTCTACTTCCTGGGTGCCAAGTGGCCTAGGCAGGAGCCAGTCAGGCCCAGCTTCTGAGTCAGATCCAGCCAAAGTTAGCCTCTCCTTCTTGCAAAGCACCGGCCCTGGAAGAAGAGCGAGATCTGCCCACAGCTGACCGTGGGCTTGACCTGTTAGAGCAACCTCACACTAGTGTTATGCTGTGAACGAGATGCTGCAGATTTATCCCAGTGGAAGTGAGATGAGAGTCAGGTCCAACGGCATTACGACAGCACAAGTGGGCTCAGAATCAGGCCCACGGGCTCCTGGTTGGCCCTGGGAGAGGAGCATGGGCGCCTGATGGTTTTCACTGGTGACAGACACAGGCTTTGGGAGTGCAAGTATCAACTCAGTGGGGTCCACGAGGGTGGAGCAAAACTTGAAGTCAGTTTACAAAACTATGCAAGCAGCTTCATGTCTGGCTGGGCTCAGGCCCGGTGACATCCACACCCTCAGCCCAGATTCCCAGGTGCAGTCAGGCCTTCTCTTGCTTAGAAAGTCCTGAGCTGTGCAAGTCACATGTGCCATCCCTTGGAGCACTGATGTCTATGCTGCATTCCCAGACCATCCTGGCAGGGCCCCCCTAAGCCCACCCCTACTCTCCTCTCCAGCTCCTGCTCCTGTGTGCCAAACCTGGAAATGAACAGGTGAAGTTGCTCTACAGACACCCCCACAGTTGCTGTCGAGCACAGAGGAGACCAAGGTCTTAGCAGCTGAGGAAGGATGCCTCAGGGCAGCCTCTGCCCTATGCCTCCTGATGCAGAGCATGGCAAAGGGTCAAGGCATGCGTGCGGGTGTCCCGCCCTGGACAGCCCAGGGATGGCATGCAGGCATCACCTTAGTCACTCAGGGCCTGTGGCCTCCCACTCCCATGAGTTCACACATCCAGGGACCGGCAGCCCTATGTGATCTCTCCAGCCCTGGTCAAGGCAGTGCAAGCGAGGGGTTAGTTGGGGTCTCATAATGACCCTACTGGAATCCCCCCAGGGCCCTTCTCCCCTCAGCGCAGCCAGCTGGGTTGTCTACCACCGTCTCTCATTGCTGTGCAGGCAAATAACAGCTTGATCCAGTGCTGCTCAGAGAAAGGGATGAATCTGCAGTCCGGGGCTGAGCTTCTCCAAGAGGTGCAAAGCATCTGTTATACCAAGGGGCCGGATCCTGTGAGGAGGGTGGTCCACACGTCTGGGACGACTTCAACACTTCCTGGATCCCAGGCCGGGTAGGATAAATGGCTCCTGTGAGCGGGTGAAGCCCAGGGGCAAAGGCTGTGTGCGCGGGCTGTGGCCCTGCCAGCCCTGTGACAGGAGAAGCTGATAAGAAGGTGCTAACAGCGCGAAGCCGAGGAAAATTTTTCCTGCTTTTGAGGGTTTGAAGATCTGGGCTGCTACCACTGCCTCTGACTTTCCATTAAAGGCATGTTGAGGCAGGTTTGGGGGAATTACCATCTGGGGGCCGGGATCAAAAGATCCTGGGACAGATCCCTTCTCAGATGGACTCCCCTGGAGTTTCCCCTGTAGGGAGACCAGCCCCATTACTGTGTCCCCTGTGGACAGGTGCTGGGTGAGCACCACAGAGCGGCTCGCCAGAGCCTGCTGTTGTTTGACTGCACTGGGACTGGCTGGGGAACTAGCAGCACCTCTCCCCTTCCAGGCGGGCTTGTCCGGGGTTGTCAGAGGAGCCAGCTGCCCCGATTCCAGCAATGCGCCATGGGAGCAGGGCACCCCATTCCTGTCATCCCCTTTGATAGCCCCAGCCTTCAGTTTTCAGCTGCAGGGCTCAAACAAGGGCAGAGGGAAGGAAGCAAGACTCCCCTGGTAAACAGTATCTACTCTCTGGGAGCCTGATCCTATCTGTTAAAGGGTCCAGGGTCTGAAGAAAACACTTAGCTGCCAAACAACAGCCAGTGGGTATTTCACAGTCTTAGCAGCATCCTGGGTGCACACGGGTGAGGCTAAGCCTGGCCCCCTCTGCAGTGCTATGAGGGACTAAAGTCATCACATGCACTTTAATAAGCCTTGCAGCTCCTTAGCCACCATATTACTCTTGTTGCAAACATAGTCTGAGAGACAGTCCCCACCCTGAAGATCCTACAGGCCAAACAGACAAAGGAAGCAAGGGTAGGTGATGTGCCCAAGGTTACTGGGCATATTAGTGGCAGAGCTGGGGATGGCACGCAGGTGCAGAATGGCAGCAGATAGTTATAGCCTGAGCTGTTCTTTCCCAGTGCCTTGCTGACCAGCAGGTGGGCAGTGCTGCCATGCACAGCATGGGCATTCCCACAGCTCCCTCAAGAGATGTAGCTGTCTGATTCAAGTGACAGTGGGACTCTGCCATCTGCTAAATAAGGGTAATGCTGTCACTTTGCTATCCAGTTCTATCTGAAGAGCTTGAAGCACAATGGAGAGCAAGTGGCGAGGCAGAGCAGATGGTCCCCACAGGGTGCCCTCTGCAAGCTGGCAAGTATCCAGTCCCCCAAGAACTGGGAACCAGCATGCCAGAAGAGGCCACTACTTTTGGGTGCCAATGGGAGGCCCCCTGTAATGTTCAGAACAGCTTCCCCAGCTTTCCCTGGGTGCTTTGGAGATCCGACCTAAATTATGTCAAATACAGAGCCTTCCAGTCTGAGCAGTCACCATGTAAGCACATTGTCCCAGAGGTTTGGCTGCCCCTGGTGATCTCTTCCCTGTTCCTCTCCACCCAGTGAGGCTAACTGTGGCAGTCATCAGGTTTCTCACCTTTTTCCTTAGGAAACTCTACCTGGGAGATACAGGTCAATGACCAGCGGGCTCATGACTCCCCTAGAAGAGGAGAGGTGGCTGAGAGAGTGTTGGACCCCGAGGGGTGGGATGGGCCTGCTCCTTAGAGCCGGGTGAAGCTCTTGGAAATTGGAGCCTACTTGATATGAGCCATGTGGGAGCAAAACTCCTACCGATTTCATTAGGACCACGAGGAGGAAGCAGCACCTCAGCCAGGGAAAGTCAAAGGCACTGCAAGAATTTAAATCAGCTCAGGCTTTGGCCCCAGTTCAAAACAGGCAAAGTGCAGGCTCAGGAGACATGAATTGGCTACAGTCACAAAACCTTTCCTCCATGAATAAGGGTTCACCACCTACCCAGCATCCACTCTTGCACTGAGCATTGCCAAAGTGCCTCAGTGATAGACCCCAGGGGCTAATTCCTGTATTCCCCCATGCTTTCAGTAAAGGGCAATAGTGCAGCCACTGCTGAGGTGGAGCCTGGTACCTCTTGAACAATACGCAGAAACACGGCAGTCCTTTCTGCTGGAGAACCATTTGGTTCCAGCTCCTTAGGAAGGAAAGAGATTACTGTGAAACTCAGAGGGAATCCAGGTTGACAGAACATAATTAGGCCTCCTGGAAGTTGGCCAGGGCCTTGGGGATAACACCTACTCTTTCAAAGAGTCCCATGGGCTCTTTTAATGATGCAGGCATCTGCTTTGCCATTTCCTGTGATACCACCAGCCGCTCATAAAAGCAGAACTTGCATCTTTTAGGGCAGAAAGAAGGGGCTGGAGAGAAGCTCAGGGCTGAATCAAGGAGGTGATGGGCTCAGTGGCCTGATTACAGACTGCCAGCTGACTAAATGACACTTCTGCATCATGTCACTTGGTCACATACCCATCACCATCTCATCTATTCTCGTGCAAAAGATGCCTCCTGAGTTCTGTTAGCAAACACTGACTAATTCCCTTGATAGCTGCTGTTCGATAGTCTCTGAATTTAAAATTTTGTTGTTTGAGCACGTCGGTGCCATAATCAGCCCTGTTTATTGGGTTCTGTTGCAATATCCTGTGTTAACCCTGGTACTGGCCTTGGTCTTGATAGTTTGCTAGAAAGAAACAGCACTAATCTCAGAGAGCTGCTGCACAGGCTTCCTGCCCTGCTGTCAGGTGTGTGTTGCGGGGAAGGGTAGTTTGCCTCCATGCACAAAAGAAGCTTCAATGGGGAAGAGAAAGC